ATCCCATACCATCCCATCCCATACCATACCATACCATACCATCCCATACCATCCCATACCATCCCATACCATACCATCCCATACCATACCATACCATACCATCCCATACCATCCCATCCCATACCATCCCATACCATACCATCCCATACATCCCATACCATCCCGTCCCATTCCATACCATACCATCCCATCCCATCCCATCCCATCCCATTCCATCCCATCCCATACCATACCATACCATACTATACTATACCATCCCATACCATCCCATGCCATACCATCCCATACCATCCCATCCCATCCCATCCCATACCACTTTATTTATAAAGCACTGAAAACAGTAACAAAGCTAACCAACGTGCTGTACAGCAAAAACAAACAAGCAAAGCACACAGCATAAAATACAGAGGTAAATAGGTAAAGATAAGAACTAAATGACTATAAAATTATAGAATACAGACAAGTTAAAATCAACTCACACAGTGTCAAAAGTCAGAGAATAAAAGTGAGTTTTCAAACAAGACTTTTAAAACAGTGAGAGAGGGAGCCTGTCTGGCATGCAGTGGTAACCTGTCACCTCTGAGCTTAAAACAAGTGAATGGAACCAATAAAAACATCTGGTCTGCTGACCTCAGTGAGCGCTGTGGGACATATGGCTGCAGCAGATCAGTGAGACAGGAGGGGGCAGAACAGTTCAGAGATTTAAAAACATACAGGAGGATTTCAAAATGACTGAGAAAATGAACCGGGAGCCAGTGAAGGGAGGCCAGAACTGGAGTAATGTGCTCTCTTTTGCCTGTACCTGTTAAAAATCAGGCTGTAGCATTTTGAACCAGTTGTAAACGTGCAACAGAGGTCTGACTGATTCCAAAAAGAAACACATTGCAGTAAGCCTGGATGGTATGAAAGCATATTTTGCTGTCTCAAGGTTACTTTTGGACATGCTTCAATTTAGACAGTCGCCTCTACTGAAAACAAACAAACAAAACAAAAAAAAAAAACAGGATTTAACAATCATGTTTACATGACTGTTTAGTTTCATGAAAATTGTATATGTAAAAATGTATTGTATCATATCATACATGCAATGTTCACTTGAGTTACATTCACTAATCATGCTTTTTAATCTGCAATTTTTCCCCATTCAGATATCGATGAATGTACAACTGGCAAGAACCTCTGCCCTTACAACAGACAATGTGTGAACACCTTTGGCAGCTACTACTGTAAATGCCAGGATGGCTACGATCTGAAATATGTCAACAACAAATACGACTGTGTAGGTAAGGTCTATGAGGTCTTTGTAAAGTGAAGCATCTGCAACTAATTACACTTTTGAAATCACAATAAAGGGGCTCTTTTGATTCCAGATGTTGATGAGTGTGCAGCTGAAAGCCACAAGTGCAGCCACCATGCTGTGTGTCTGAACACTCGTGGGTCCTACAAGTGCAAGTGCAAGTCTGGCTTCAGAGGCAACGGCTTTGAGTGCTCCGGTGAGATCTGATATCTGCAACAGGAACTTACAACACAGTTCGTTTTAAATTGCACTGAAAGGGGTCAAAAGCAGATGGCAGACTTTTTCCAAATCAAGAGGACGTGAAATAAGTCAGGAAGAGTTTTGTAGCTGCACATTTCATTTGGACTCAAACTTTCAGCAAACTGGCGTCCTGCCAACTTTAGTTTCCTGCCTTTGGACTCCAATCTTCTTTTGCAGACTTTAGCAGTTGAGGCACAAATTGGAAACACACCTGCATTAATGTAACCTCTATCCAGCCCTCCTAGGAGAAATGAGAAGAAAAAAAAGTTAGCGCTTTTATCTTCAAACAGGGCTGAGGTAACCAAATGACGACTGACTGCGGGTTAGAGGTTTGTAAATGAAGATGCTTTTATCTTTTATAGTCAAACCATTTTATCAGAGACGGTGGGATGGAGACAAAGGCAGTGCAGATGATTTCATCAATGGTGAGACGTTGTGGAGCTTCTGCCGATCTCTGTGCCGTGCATTCCTAGTTCATGCATCTCTTCCGTAGCCTGACCGTGATGAACACCTTCTCCGTCTCTGTCTTGATCATGACTGGAACTGTTTGCCCACAGCATCCACAGCTTCATGCATCCTCAGCATGACATGTTTTATATTATGCACTGCCGCAGCCTGCATTAATCTGCAGTCGGTTTTGTCATTTGTATTGGCATGTTTATTTCTTGAACTCACTGAAAGATATCTTATTTTTGATTCTAAGTGCCTGCAAAGATGTGATTAATAACTGAACTAAAGCTGTGCAGAATATAAACAAACATGTCTGAGGCCTGACAACGTATTCAGCTGTAATTGTGTGTCCATGTGTCTTTTTGTGATATATTTTCCGGCCTGCAGCCATCCCGGACTCCCAAGTGAGGCCTTGGATCCTGGGAGGTAAGCCGAGCAATGAGGACATCAAAAACACCATCCCTGAAACAGTCGCAACGCCGCCTCCCCATCAGCCTTTCGACTACGACAGAGAGGTCTACATCGGCCCCCAGACGGAGGACAGAGAAAATACATTTCCTGGGCAGGAAGTGAAGGAGGAGGAAGAGGAAGAAAACCAGCTCCTTCCAAGAGGAGATGTTTTCGGTGAGTGTTTTTTAAATTTTTTTTAGCTGAGATTTTACTCTCATTTTAACATATGTTAGTAAAAAAAAAAAAAAAATCCATCTGGATTAAGCCCTTGATGAAAATAAAATGCATCTTGTTGCTTTTGGTTATGTTAAGCTGAAGAAAAATTAACTTTTATGTGAAATGTTTTCTGTTATTGATATCACAGTGGTATTACAGACCATTTCAATAAGGCAAACTGACATAGTCTTAAAGGTTTTTTTTTTTTTTTAATGGAGCTACATGTATATGGAAAGATTATAAACGTCATATCATAACTAAACACATGACCGGAGCGGTAGTTGAAGCCACAAAATACAAGCTCCGCCCACTATGATGGCTTCAGTAGTATTCAAATATAATCAATATCCCGCCGCTCTATCTAAACAAATGGGACACGTTTCTGCCTAAAAAATTAAAATACATTCCAAATCTTTTTTTAAGTTTTCAATTTTATTGATACATTTGCTTACTTTAATGCTGTAAGTTCAGTTATAGTTTTTTTAGATTAGTGTTGTTTTATGACAACAATAATCCAATGTGGCTTCAGTCGAACTAGCTGTTGACATTTTGCTCCAAACTGAAACAAATTGATCAGTTAACAGGTAAGATATTAATTGCTCATAGCATTTCAACAAAATCACACTTCAAACAGTCTGAAGTACCTTTTTAAGCATCTGAAAATATTACCAAAAAAAACATATTCAACTACTACTGGTTAAACTTGATCAAATATAAACATTTTACTAAAAAAAAATCTGTACAAAAGACGGAGGTCGTGTGGTAGTTTTCACCAGTGAAAAATAAGTGAGGTGGCCTTTCAACACTAACCTTGATTATTACAAAAACACACGTCTCTGTATTGGATCCAAGATGGCAAGAGGAGACAAGCCCCAAAGACATCCATCACCTCCAGGGAGGAATTTTACTCCTTTGGCATGTGTGAGCCCGAGGATAAAACTCATCCTGTCCCTGCTTCCCATCTCAAAGGAGGAGGAACAGAGGTTGCATAGCCCTCAAACCTTTTATTATGCATTCCCCAAAACAGCTGTTGTGCTAAAAGACTTGACTCCCTGTAGGAAAGCCTGTCATCAACACGCTGCTCCTCTGTAACACCAGCCGTCTTTGGCTGAGCAGGTTCAATAACTCCATATGTCACTCCTCTTCTGCTTTTCATGGGGGGGGGGGGGTGTTGCTGCAGGAACTTTGAATACTTGGGGGTTATCCTAAAGTTGCAACATTTGAAGACTTTAGAAATAAGAGGACAGGTCTACACCTGTTGGTGAAAACCCCCTTTTCTACCTTTTGCATCTTTGTTTCCAAATATGTTTCATACTATGGAATGAAAATATTGTGCACTTAAACATGCCAAGTTATGAGATTTTTCATCACTAATACAATTCTGTCATATAGTATTACTATTTATTAAAACTTGTTGATAAAGGCCTGCATGCAAAGCCTTTTTATAATAAAACTATGTAAATAAAACCAACATATGGTAATTCATTACATAGCTCAGTTTTGATGTTTACTGAAGAGACCATTACCAGTATTTAGATATAAATGACTGAAATAAAGCTGATTTTATGCTTCTTCTTACTTTTAATGTGTGGTAAATTGCATTATATCTTTAATAATACTAATCCTCTGTAAATTAATGAATAACTACAACAGTAAATTCAACAAAATGGACAGAAAAAAGTATAAATTGTTTGGGGGCATAATGTAAAATGTACTAGAAAGCTAAAGGGAAAGATCTTTGAAGCTGGATTCTGTAGAAAGGTGATGGGCAAATAATATCTTACCTGCTATAGAATGCCATTTTACAACAACTTCAATCTCACAAGTTTCACATCATAAAAATGCTATTTCATAAACTTTACCATCAATCTGACATTACAGTAGTACCTCATTATATATATAAAAAAGCATTTGAAACCCTTCCCACACTCTTGCAATATTCTAAACAATGTTTCTAAACTCTAAACGCTCTAAAAGAGCACAGAATGTCATAATTTTAGCTCTCTGCCTCCTCTCAGCCACGGCTGCACTCAGCCACCTGCAAGTGGTCTCAGCCACGCCCACTTCCCTGCTCTGCACGGAGAACAGTTGATCAGCTGCAGGAGGAAGCTTATCCTGCAGTGTGGGCTGCACAATGGTGCAGCAGGTGATAAATATTTTAAAATAATTAATTGTAAATAAAAATTCCATGCCGATCATGCGGCTCATCCATCAATCAGCCAATTGAAATATTAAATTAATTAAGAAAAACCGCAATAGAGCGAGTCTGCGATTAACGAACCGCGAAGTAGCGAGGGACTACTGTAAAGGTTATTCTAGCAGAAATTATGTTACTCTGCTGGAAGTGGCTCAAGCTGCATGGAAAATGCTAAAGCTAGTTGTTGCTGCCACTAATTCCACTTACAAATACCCATAAAACTTTAGGTAATTGTGTAATGCAACATTTACACCGATCTGCAAGTTTATAAACTTACATTTTCAAGAAAAGCTCTGGAATTTTGAGACTAAAGTTGTTTTTATGAGGGCCAAAATGGTGTAGAGGCAGGGCAGCCGACTCAGGACCCTAAATTCCCAGGTTCGATCCTCAGTCATTGCACATCTCGTGTTGTCTCTGAGCAAGACACCCTATCCCCAATTGTTCCCTGGGCGCTTTCAATAGCTGCCCAATGCTCCACCTGAGTGTATCCCTGGTACAATGGGTTAAATGCAGAGAGCCAATTCTGCCATTGTATGGGAACATACAATGATGACAACACATAACACATTATTATTATTTAGGACAGGAGCGATCCACTTTGGTCTTAGCCCCAGAGTAGTTGTTAGCTTGTGCATCTAAGAACTAAACTCTATTCCTCCAAACTGACATTGCTCAAAGAGCTATCTACAACAGGTAATATGCTTATTGCTCACAACTTTTCCCACAAAGCCCAACTTTATAACAACTAAAGAAGTGCTTCAAAGTACACTGGGATTTTTGTAGGTGCAGTGGTTGAATGAATGTTCTGTTATTTGCTACTTTTACCTTCAGGAAATCCTACCTTAAGTCTCTGTTGAAACACATCATAACAGGATTTATAGGATTTTCAGCATGATCATAGTATTGGAATGCAAGTGTCTAATGTGAACGAATTCAAGGATCTTTCAACAGAATGTCTGATAGTCAGAAAATCCATGCTTTAAAAAAAAAATCACTTTTTTCTCATTATGACTTTTTACCATTTCAGAAGACTTTGAGTCCGTGTTTGGCCCAGCAACAGAAATAAAAGAAATTCAAGTTGATCCACCTCAGCAAGGTAATTACTGTAAATATGTTCTATTACCACAGCTGAAATGAATGTTTATGTTGTTAATCTGATGCTGCCTAGAATATACCATGGACTGCAACTTTGATCAAGGAGCGTGTGAATGGGTTCAAGACAGGACTGACGACATAGACTGGACTGTGGCATATCATGATAATGGTAATAAAACAAATACGCGAGGTACTTTTTGTTCTCCTGTTTGTATTGAATTACTTATATCCTAGTTAAACCCCATCAGGTGCTGAGTATTACATGGCACTGAGCGGGCTGCTTGGGGAGCAAGAAGAGGTGGCCAAGCTGAAGCTGCTTCTCAGCGACCAGCCACAACAGGGCAGCTTTTGTCTCACCTTTGACTACCGTGTGGTTGGCCATAATGTGGGCTCACTCCGGGTGCTGCTGGATAACAATGCTTACCCAGTGTGGGAGCAGACCCAAAGCAAACACCAGAGCTGGCAGACAGAGCTCCTCACCGTGGCCTGGAAAGATGAAGCACCAAAATCTGTGAGTCGTGATCATTTCATTTCATTTCATAATTCTTTTGAAAATGTTAACACAACCAATAGAAGACATTTTACTTGTAAAATAAAAAGGCATTCCTATGCACAATATTGTGAGATTTCACAGGATAGTTAGCGCTGTAATACTTGATTCAATAACTATTTTAGAGTTAATGGCACAACAAAAAGTAGAACTAAACTAGTGGTGTGCAATACAGACACACTAGCTAAGATGCTGCAGATGTAGCGCTCTGCTTTACATTGCACAACCTAACACAGTAGTCCCTCGCTACTTCATGGACTTTGCGGACTCGCTCTATTGCGGTTATTCAAAAATATTGGACGACACACAATTGACTGATTGATGGATGAGCCACACAATCGGCAGGACATTTTTATTTAAAATGAATTGTTTTAAATTATTTAGCACCTGCTGCACCTCTGTGCAGCCCATACTGCAGGATAAGCTTCCTCCTGCATCTGATCAGCTGTTCTCTGTGCAGAGCGGAGAAGTGGACGTTGCCGAGTCTGCTTGCAGGTGGCCGAGTGCAGCCAGCGGCAGAGCTGAAATCATGACATGCTGTGCCCTTTTAGAGCATTTAGGGTTTAGAAACATTGTTTAGAATATTGCAAGAATGTGGAAAGTGTTTAAAACGCCTATATATACATTATATATATATATATATATATATATATATATATATAATTTTATTTTTATTATTTGTTTTAAATTTATATATATATTTATATATACTAAAATAAATTACTACTTGTACTACTAATCCTACTTCGCTGTTTTTCCACTTAATGTAGGGCTTCAGGGTACAGATCCCCCACAATAAACAAGGGACTATTGTAAACACTTTGTACAAAATCAGTTTAGTGTGAACTGATCATAACAAACAAAGGCTAAACTTATGCAACCAGAAGCTGCAACATAGCTACATCTACATATAAAGCACACAAAACAAAACACAACTAGCTTTAAGAATTTACCTTTAATTTAACTATTAAGCACACAATGTAATTATGACAGAAAATGGAGGATTTACCTGCAGTTACCTTCGTACAGACGAACATGTTGTACTTCCTGTTTATAACTGTTGTATTCAGCTGCTCATGAGGTCGGCCGCAGGGTTTTATCCATCTTTTACATTGTTCCAGACTCAGTTTAGGTTTTGGAAATGGAATAAACTGTATTCCACCCTCTAAAACAGGGCTATTCAACTAAACTGCTCAGGGGGCCACAGTGACTGAAAGGGATCAAACATCCAGCAATTAAAGTCATTAAATAAAATAAATCATAAAAAAATGTATGTTAAAAATGTAGTTTGTTTATGTATTAAGAACATTATTATTGCTTAAAAAGTATATTGTGCAATGTGCAATTTAAAATGTACTAATACTACTCAATGTCTTTCAGATTATCTTTGAAGCTCAGCGTGGGAAGGGCGTCGGAGGTGAGATAGGGCTGGACAATGTTGTGTTGACTTCAGGGACCTGTCAAGAGGATCTAGGTCCAGTCTTTTAGGAATCCTCAACTTGGATCAAAAATTATGCACACATGTCAAGGATTCCTCATCTCTAATAACCACAGCACAATCAAAAGAAAACAAATATCTACAAAGGGTGCACACTGTGTTGCTACGTCAGTCCACCCTGCTACACTCTATATTTTGAATTTCTAGTTAGTCTTATGAAATACAGATAACTCAGATCTCAGGAACAGGTGGAAGAGCTGACTGTTAGATGGGTTTGACAGTATTGTGCTGAAGTAAACCAAATAAATATTAATGAAATGCAATGTGAATGTATTGCACTTATCATAAATGAGTCAAGTTTTGAAGGTTGTTTTGTTTAGGTGCTAAAAATGCATATACAGTATGTTGGAAAATTTGTACTGGAATTATGCTTCTGTTGTTATATTAAACCTTTTTTTTTAAAGATTGTCTAATTTTTTCTGTGCACTTGACTCGTGATACATGTAGATAAATGCAAAAATGTAACTTTACACAGATTGTTTTAGGTCAGCAAAACTAACTGCAAAGAGCATTTTACAAATACAAATGGTTAAAGTGAGCTTTAAACCCCTTGTTCATTTCCTTGTAGTCAAGTGCATATTTAAAACGCCGGGATAAACGTGTTTAATTCTACATTTGATATTTGATAATGTCAATAGAAATGTAGATCAAATATGTTAGGTTTTAATATTTTTACCTTGTTTTACGGCACTCTGATTTGTTTAATAACACTACTTTTATTTTAACTGTATTTTTACTGTTTTGTCGTTATTATTGTTTATTATTATTCTTGTCTGTACTTTATATGTTCTGTCTGGAATAGGTCTCTCTTGTAAATGAGTCCTTGTATAAATAAAGGTTGAATGAATGAGTGAATGCTTCTGGAGCTGACAGAAGACGCTTAATGTCGCCCCCTTGTGGTGAAAGTATGTTAGTACAAAAAAGAAAAGATAACTCTTTTATCCAATTACCTGTGAATGGACAATAAAAAAATGCCAGCACAAGTCAAACAAAAAACATTAATATTAGGTATTCTCTTTTAAAAATAAAAACAGTTTATATAGACGTCGAACAGGCCTAATTGTTGACATCCAATCGCAGGCTGCATTGGCACGATCACGTGATCTCGCGCCTAGCAGTTAGCTGTGTTAGCATTGCCCTCTGAGCTGAACCAGGAAACGGTGCGACCTGGTTTTACTTGGAGCTGTCAAACGAATGAATCCACATTTTTATTTATTTCGTGTCGTTTTTTTATTGATTAAGTAGCTGTGTCAGACTCAAACTGTAAGGTACGTAGACTGAATCCTGGCTTTCTTAGTGGTAATTTAATTCTAGCTGTTATCTTTTTTCCAAATTAGCTTAGCTTGGTTAAAGCTGAAGGATGGGCTTAGAGTTCTCGTTCCTTCAATTTAGATAATTTTACAGTGATTTAATGTAGTGTTACTTATAGTCACAAGCTTCATGATCTAGTTCGTTCTGTTCATTTGTTACTGCTGCCCAGAACCGCGTGTTAAACAGTGGAAATAATGGCTTGACATTGTGTTTCAGCGGGTTAAATGTTATCTTATACGGCTGCCAACATCAACAATAAACAAATGAGCATGTGACGGAGGACTGGGCCGTACAGCACATGATCTGGACAAGTGAAGGCGGTTAAAGCAATCTGGGGTAAGAGAAAAGTAGTTTTGTCTTGCCGTTTTAAGTGTCTTTTGCGTAGTGTTCATTTTCACAATCTTTTTTTTATTTTTTATTATTCTTTCCTATGCATTTTTCTAATAGGTAAATCATCTCAAAGTGATTGATTAGGGATCTGTAGCCATGGCAGCGAAGAAGTCCACGCTGAAAGTCATCTTGCTTGGTGATGGTGGGGTTGGAAAGAGCTCCTTGATGAATCGATACGTCACCAATAAGTTTGATGCCCACCTTTTCCACACCATTGGTGTTGAGTTCTTAAACAAGGAGCTCACCGTAGATGGGTGCAATGTTACCCTCCAGATCTGGGACACTGCTGGCCAGGAGCGCTTCCGCAGCCTGAGGACTCCTTTCTATCGTGGCTCTGATTGCTGCCTGCTCACTTACAGTGTGGATGATAACCAGAGTTTTCACAACTTGAGCAACTGGAAGAAGGAGTTCATTTACTACGCTGATATCAAGGAGCCAGAGAAGTTCCCGTTTGTGGTTTTGGGCAACAAAGTGGATGTGACAGAGAGGCAGGTGTCTTCAGAAGATGCTCGGCAGTGGTGCCAGGAGAATGGGGACTACCCATATTATGAGACCAGTGCTAAGGATGCCACCAATGTAGCAGTGGCTTTTGAGGAAGCAGTGCATAGAGTGTTAGTAATGGATGACAAAACTGACTATCTTATCCCCACGGACACAGTCAAGCTCCACAGAAAGCCCCGCTCTGCTACTGCTTGCTGTTCCTAACATCCAGGAGCTGCTACTAATAAACCTGTCGTGCCTGCTAAGTGGAGGCTGTAAGCGTTTGGCACTGTATAACAAACTATGCTATTCTTTTGATTTCTTGAAGGTTTGGTGATTCTAGTTGTTGGGCTTTAGCCTTAAACACTAAATTGATGTAAATACAAATAAACTGTTACTTATGGCTTCAGCTTTCCCACTTTTTTAAGTTGTGACTGAAAATTATGGAATGGAAACAGCAACTACTAATGTTGGTCAAAGATTATCTCAGAACATTAAAATACTCCACGTTCCTCTCAAGTTGCTATTCATGATTTTTTTTTTCTTTCATAAATGTGTACCACTTGGTGAGTTCCAAAAATCTGAACATCTAACCATCAGTTCCATGACACAACTGCACAGAGTAGCTAAAGAATATTTAAAATTGTTTTTGTATAATAAAAATAACTTATACAATCCAATAACCCTGTTTCTGATAACGATGAAGTACTGTAGCTCAGGTTGTCTTTTGTATAACCTTGTGAACAGAAACTTATCATTTTGAAGTTTTGCTTTTGCACATTTTGCTTCGTGAATACATGGAGGCTGGTATAAACACTGAGGTCCCACTGGAAATAAACTTCACATGTATGACATTTCTTTGTACAATTGATTTTCTAGACTTATTTGCAGTTTGTAAGCGAGTTGTTCCTTAGAAATTGCAAATACAGCTTTTTTTTCTTTATGAAATAATGTACTGATTTTTTTTTCATGTTCCATCTGTTGTTCTGACATCCTTAATACAACCTCTTAACATTGTCCTATATGTACGATAAAAGCTACTATCTAATCATTTGAAAGCAAAGCAGACATTAACTTATCATACTATAAAGTTGTAAAACTGATGATGCTGAATAAACGCTCAGAACTGTCTGATCGACATGTTTTGTAGCATGAACGCTAAAGAATGGGTCACTATTATTGTAAAGATAATCAAAAAACAAATCTTATCTTGGTAGTCTGTATGTACCGGTTCTTCATAAATAACAAGGAACTGCTTGTGTCACATGTTTTCTGAGTATTATTTTAGGTTTGCTCATTCTTCACAAATAATTTTTACATACATTTGATTGTCCACAATCAAAATTAGATAATGACCACAAGAAAAGTCTCAGAATCACAGCAGACATTTTATACAAATGTTCAGTTAGAATAAAATACATCTTTGTGCATCAGGAAGAGGAAAAACAAGAACATTCAATATATACAACGATGAGGATTCAAATTCCTGCATGAAACTATTAACTCAGAAGATGTTTCTTCCCAAGAAACTGGACTTTCCTCTCGAATGCTGTTGAGCGGATTGGTGCGCTGACTTCATAGAAAGGATTCATGGCAAACTGGAAGACGACAACAGACGTAAAGGTCAGGATCAACAGGACAAATGGTGTGCTGTTTGTGCTTATTTTAATAACAAGGAACAAAACTTACCTTAATGTATAAATCATACACGTCATTGAAAAAGTTTTTGATTCCATCTTCTTGCCGCACATCATGCAGCATGATGAATCTTATATGTATGGCAAACAATTAAAGAACATAGCTAGTTCCAAGTTATGTTTATGTGTCATATGCAAGGTTAACACAAGGTTATCAGTACAATGAGATGCTTAGGATAAGAAGAACCGATTTGACTCGCTAAAAAAAAAATGAAGAAACAAACAAGAAAATACTAAAGCATGCAATAAGGGTACAAAATAAAAGTACCAAAAAATGAAAAAAGGAACATGTACATGCTGCATGTAAATATGTACCGGTACATGCTTATCATGCTGAGCTAGGAAGATAAATTAAGACTGATATAGAAAATTATGAGTAAACTGACCTCATTTTTCTTTGTTTCTAAAGCTGGAAATTATGTTCCGTTTTTTAACTTAAGGTAATTTTATGCCAGTATTCAGTTCAAAACTAAAAAGTGAAGATCATTCATGCTATTTAAAAGAATGGCAGAGAAAAGAAATGTTATGTACAATCATGTATAATCTATGATTAAAGATTTAGTTTAATTTTAATAATTCTAACACTTATATTTGCTGTTTTGCATCATCACACTCCTATGCCCAAACTATAAATATATACAATAAAAATAAGGTTTAATTAACACATTTTCTGTCTCTTTTAGTAGTAAATTTAATCATAACCATTTATTACTTGAGTTCATTATAGATAAATAAAAAGTAGAAAAGAAATAAGAACAAAGAAGAAAAATAAAAGGTGTGGGGAAAGGATATGTCCTGCTGTGACGAAGGCTGACACAAACCACTCGTTGAACTTGTCCACAGTTTTCAGGTACATACTGTTGGAGAGCCACATCATTTCATCCACCAAGTCCAGGGCTGCATGTGCAATGAACTGGTTCAGGTGGCGGTGATCATCCTGTGGTTAGAGCAAGAAATCTCCTCAAACAGAATAATAAAAACACTAACACCATTATTGTTCACAGTGAAACAAGTACAGTAAGTATCAATTTAGGTGTGATGAATTGTGTTCTTAAAATTGTGTTTTAGGCAGAAATAAAACAGCCAATCATGGCTTATTTATCAAACATACTGTCTGTCACAGTCGTGATAATAGAGGAAATACCTTTGCCTCGGCCTTCCCAGCTGGCAAAAACTCCATTTCAAACACGGGATTGTCATGATGACCAACCATGACAAAGTAAAAGCTTCCCGACATCTTTTTTTCTTCTTCTTGTCAAGTCAAAAACACCCTACAGTACATTAAAGACAAAACCATTGGTCAAAATGACATCTTTATGAAAAGCAGCCGTGTTAACCAAAATTATTGCTAAACAGTGAATGTCCGATGCTTTAGATGATAGACTATGTTATTTTTTCCTCACATGACTAAGAAAAAATATATATAACTACACATAGTACGGACAGAAAATATAAAAGTTGAAAACCTGAATTTTGTTGACTCCGTTAAATCTGCTTCCGGAAGACCTGCAATAGCAGTCGCATAAACATGACGACAAGGCAAGCCGCTTGAAATAAAATTCAATCCATGATTTAAAAGCTTACTAGTACATATCTTTAAACAAACTTATATTAATAATAAACCATTGTAAATAAGCTGTTTATCATAGAATTAAATAATAATACCGTATTGGCGAACTGGTCTTTCCGCTTTCTTTACGTCATAAGCATGCGCCTATTGTCCGTTGTCAAATTTAAATGTTTTGACGTCGTCTAGGAGCTGAATGGCAGACGTTTCCTCTCTTTTTTTAAGCCAATACGTTTTTAAGATAGATAAAAACAAAAGTTTAATAACAGTAAATAAACTATTAAAAAATTATAGATAATGAGGGATTTTGATCATTAACGTGCCGTGATCTGCAGTTATGTCCTCATCCAGGGAGGATGGTTTATCCCCAGAAGAGCTGAGAAAAAGACTGTATCAGACTTTTAAAAGCAAAGGAGTGCTCGATGCTCTCAAAGTAAGTCATATTAACAAAAATTCTTCTTTAATATACCGTATTATTTTACATTAGTGTTTAGTGTATATCTTAGATCTTTAATATACTGTTTCTTTTTATACTTTATATTTTTGCTATTTGGTGGTGTAACTGGGACCTTGAGTACACAACTTCGTTCCACCTACTGTTCCACCTACTGTTCCACATGTAATGTGAATGACAATACAGAACCTTGAACTTGAACTTCTGTGTTTTAGTGAAAATGTTTATTTCTCTCCTCTTTCGTCGAATCTGCTTCAGGCACAGCTGCGAAATCAACTCGTCCAGGAGTTAAAATATGTACCATGGACAGGACAAGATCCAGTACCCAGACCGGTCGCAGTGAAAACGAAGCCCGTTTTACTTTCAGCTTGTAACAGCATAGTGGCAGATCATCTCCTCACATGCGGATATGAATACACTCTTTCTGTATTCTACCCTGAAAGTGGCCTAAGTAAGGATCAGGTGTGTATCACAATGGTTGTATCTTCTATATCTGCAGCTTGAAGTGTAAGGACCATCGCTGTATGATTTTGGTTTCTATTTGATCTCCACAGGTTTTAAAGAAGGAAGACCTTTTTCAGCTTCTTAAAATAAATCCAGCCCTTTCCTCATTCACGGTGAATAAAAACATGATCATCTTTACCATACATCTAAAAATTCTCTAAATTAAACATAAATGCACATTCCTATAACGACTTCATTCTTTTCTACAGGTAAATAAATATAATGATAAAGGTATGTTCAATAGACTTTACTTCTAATAAAACAGCTTCTATTTCCAAGTCATGATCCTAATATTTTAGCTGTATTCAGGGTTTCTACTCAGCCTTTTAACGCAGCTGACCAGCAGTTATCCTCACAGTCTCTATCATGATGTGGAAACTCAAACAGACAGCTCATCAAGTTATGGAGAGTCTCTTGGTATGATGACTTGTTTGAAATTAATCATTTTGGTTTCTTGTGTGACATTTGGCATGGCTTTCCTAAAAGTATCCTTGTTTTCTTTTCATTCACAGTCGAGAAGATGAAAATGATCGATAAGGAGTATCAGGGCCTTAGTTCGAGTGAGGACAAAGTGTTTTATTTCCAGTCCAAACTGGCAGCATATAGAAAAGAAGCTGAAGCACAGATGGAAGCAGAAATGAACGCAAAGGTAAACACACACAAACATCTAATACTCTTTAATAATCCGCTTTTAGCTTGCTTTAATATCAATATGTGCTTTAATGTCTTGTCTTTCTCTTAAGCTGCAGCATTTTAAAGAAGTTGAAATCGCTAAGGTGAGGATGGAAGAAAAGGCAAAGTTTCATACGGAGTTTGATACGTTGAAACAAGAACTGGAGAGGACTTATGAAATGAAAGCGAAGGCACTGATGGCGCGGGAGAAAAATTCTATTGATAGAATGCAAAAACAGCAAGAGGTAAAGTTGATCATTAGGTTTTTTTGTTGTTGTTGCTTTCTTTCAATCTCAGAATACTCTGAAGTCTAGAAATAGAAGTCCCTCTCTAAAAAGAACTTTTGCATGTGTTTTTCACTCACTGGAAATATTATATATATATCAGTAAAGATAAACTGCTGATGTAGCTGGGCCTGTGATTGGCCTATAACATGAAGAACTTGATTAGAAAAGCTACTGGACTCCACAAATTAGCTTTGTGCTGATCTAACTTTTTACAAAGGAGTCCTACTTTATTTATTTAAATTCTTTGTGGTGAATTTCAGAATTTTATGGTAAATGGACTGTACTTTTATAGCTTTTTTCTATCTTGTCAAGATACTCAAAGCTCTTTACAACACAATCTTTGTCCTCATTCACCCATTCATACAGCACTCTACTAGATCTATACAAAGATTAATCAGTGCTTTATCACATTCATACACCGGCTGGACACACATTTGAGGCAATGCAGGGTTCAGTGTCTTGCCCAGGAACACTTCTGTATGTGACTGCTGGTGGAATTGAACCCCTCAACCCTTTCATTGGAGGACGACTGCTCTAACCACTCAGCCACAGCCGCCCCTTTTTAACTTAACAAATAATAAACAAGTAACAAACTGAATTGATAACATTTTAAGTAACTACACCGTTTATTATGTTTTGAGTTTGTTGTTCTAAATTTGTGTAAAAATTAAGACTTTATGAGGATTTTTTTTTCTTCCTTTAAACTATATTATTGTCTTTAAATGTAAAACCTCAAGATGAGGCTAACTCTGTGCCATGATTTTATCAAAATATAATTTAACAGTGTTTTTTTTTCCCCTAGATTGAAGAAAAAAACATCTACATGCAGAGACAGTCAGTGCTGAAAGAAATTGAGTCCCTGCGTAACAGAGAGAAAGAGCTGAGGTTGAGAATGGAGGCTTTTGAACAGTAAGAACTTTTAGAAAACTCTTTTTTTTTCTTCTCCCTCTTGATTTTTGGAGCCACTGGTCCAAACTGAAGGTCTCTGCGTTTTTTTTAACAACAGAACCTGTCAAATCCAGGCAGAGAAGGTCAAGTCGTCTGAAGAGCTGCTGAGGAGGAGAGAATTGGCTGTGAAGACTTTGGAGGACACTTATGACCAGAACCTGAAGAATGAACTTTCTAGGTGGTGTTTATTTTATTTTTAACCCAGAATGTTTCTCTTTAGGTTTTATTTCATCTTGTATGCTCATAAACAAATGTACCACTTAACTTTATTTTATCATTTTTAAAGAATAATCTTGAATCACCAGAATATGTCACTGTTGTATTAACTCATTCATCATGAACTTTATCAGCAAAACCCACCAAACTTCAGACTTTTATGCTGAAATGGTTTAATTGTTGAAATGTGTTTTAATTTACAGCAACTCGTGAATTTATGTGTTGTTTATGACACTGTTAGTATCATTCATACACAATTTAATTGACTATCCATTATGTTTACTAATCTTAAATGAAATAATTTCATGTTTTTACAATATTAGGTACCAGTTTGAGCTAAAGGAGGAATTTATGAAAAGAACAGAGAAACTCACTGAGAGTGAGAACAGAAACCAAGGCAAGTATTTTAGTTTTGTGTGTTTTTGATTTTGCACTTTCGTTTCCTTCATGTCAATTTGTTTTTCAGTGGAAACTGCTCGAATCCAAAAGGAGTCGGCTGTAATTACGGCCAGATTAGACGAGCACAACAGAGCATGTTCTGAGCTGAAACGGCTGCAGGTAAAAAAAATCACAACCTCATTCTGCCAGCCTTGTGTATTTTACAGCATTGTTAAATGGTTATAGGATTAAACCATTACTGCTTTAACTTTGATTTTAGAATTGCATGCATGGAATCGGTGATTCTTAACATTTATTTTGCTTTCTACTTTTTCCACGTTTCGCTTATTTGTTGTTTTTTGTCTCAGGATGAACTAAAAACAGCACAGCAACAGATTTCCCTGCTGACTCAACAGAAGGAGCTGCTAAAGGAAAGACTTGACAGCACAGATGACTATCTTAGTTTAAAGAGAGACAAGGTGGAGCTGCAGGGACAGCTGCAGCTGCTGAAGAAACAGCTGGACGAAGCCCAAGAGGAGAACCGGCTGCTCCGTGCAGGTAAAATAAGGGTATAAACTAACATTTTAATAAATAAAGTATGAAAAAACTGCACGTTTGTCCAGTTGAAAAATCACTTTCCCAAGTTGTTTTCTGACTTTGTGAGTCTGGATCCATCCAGGAGTCCATTCCACCGTGAAGCATTCTTTCCATACTGGCTGTTTTTCTGACTGTCCAGCCTACAAATGTGGAGCTTCTGTGCTGTGATTAGAGCTTTTTAGACATTCTGTGAGAGAAGGCAGAAGAAAAGTGGAGTGAGTGCAAGCAGAGGCCAAAGACGCCATTTACAAATGGCAAACGAAGACGGATGTACGTTTTTGTTTTGTTTTTATCCCTTTTACTGTAAAAGAAAACTTGAGGTGATGTAGGTCAGGTGGATCTTTACTTCAGTTATAAACATGCTGGAAACATGTAAAACATCATCTTCCTCTCAGCAGACAAAGGAAGGTGCACAGTGATTTTGAACCAGAAAGACCAGGGGAGGCCACGCCTAGTCCACGATTTACCAGAAATTCACAAACAAGGTGTACCTTTAAGACCAATTCTTAGTATGATTAACTCTGTCACTTACAATGTTTCCAAATATCTGGCGTCTGTACTCATCCCTTTAGTTGGCAGCTCAGAACGCCACATACAGAACACCATGGACTTTGTGGATAAGGTGAGGGATGTTGTCATGGAGACTGATGAAACAATGGTCTCTTTTGGTGTCGCATCACTTTTTACGTGCATTCCTGTTGATGATACAGTAGAGATGGTCAAGATTAAAATCAGACACCACTCTGAGCAGCAGGACCATGTTTTGGGTGTGCTATGGGGTCTCTAGTTTATCCTATTGTTGCCAACCTGTACATGGAGGAGGTAGAAAAGAGAGCCTTGATGTAAAGATGTAAAAAATGGTAGGTTGGCTTTCTTGGACTGTGAGGTCTCAGTCTCTGATAGAGGACATTTGCAACCTGAAGTGTACCACAAACCCACCCACACAGACCAGTATTTGCAGTTTGACTCCCATCACCCTTTGGAGCACAAGTTAGGAGTCATCTGGACTCTGTACCACAGAGCAGACAGCGTCCCCACTAGCTCAGGAGCCAGGCAGAAGGAGAAATCCCACACAAGACAGGCTCTAGAGCAATGTGGATATCCTAACTGGGCCTTCCTGAAAGCAGAGAAGAAACCCAAACAGGACTCCAGTCAGCCATCAGGTGAAAAGGAGGAACCCAGACCCAGACCAGTGGTCATTCCATATGTTGAGGGAGTATCAGAGAAACTGAGACGTTTATTTTCTAAACATAACGTCCCAGTGGCTTTTAAACCCCAAAATACATTACGGCAAAGACTGGTTCATCCCAAAGATCCAGTCCCCCGGCACAAACAGAGTAATGTTGTGTATGCTGTTCAGTGTCAGGAGGGTGATCAGTCTTACATCGGGGAAACTAAACAGCCACTGGCCAAAAGGATGGCCCAGCACAGAAGATCAACATCATCAGGCCAGGACTCTGCGGTCTACACTCATCTCCAGGCCAGCGGTCACTCTTTCAGGGATGAAGATGTTCACATCCTGGACAGAGAGGAACGATGGTTTGAGAGAGGAGTAAAGGAGGCCATCTTTGTGAAAAGAAATCGTCCATCATTAAACAGGGGTGGAGGCCTCCGGGTTCAACTGTCCCCCTCACAATGCTGTGATTGCTAGTATCACTCAGCCCTCTGTGAATAGTAAACAGCCATCTGGGCACTAATGATTGATCGGTCGTTAGGCTGATGGTCCTCCTTTATCATGTGAACATCTAGTTCTGGATGTCAACAACAAACTGGTTGATCCACTTTGAGAAGGTGCTATTTATAAGATTGAAATTGTTGCATATCCTCAGACTGAAGAAGACTTTTGGATAAAAGACAAAATGTTTCACCAAAGAAGAATCCGTCCAGAGGACCTGACTCAACCTTGTTAGATTTCTCTACCTGGATAATTGTGCAGCATCAGGACATTCAAAAAAGGCTTTCACAAAGTTGTAAAGTGAGGTGTGACAGATATTTAGTGTGTGTGAAATCTGTAGGTGGAGAATCCCACAGTTTAATAATTGTTTTTATGAAGAGGATCATATTAGTTTTAGACACAAACTGATCTATGACTCGTTGGCAGGAAACTCGGTAGTCTGGAGCAAAATTAACAGAACAATAAGTAAACAGAGAAAGTGGACAGAAGCATACTCAACTTTTTTTTTTTTTAACCAGCAGTTGATAAAACCTAAACATATATATATATATATATATATATACTGTATATTTTTAGATTATTTGAAGATTAAAAAAAAAAAAAGACAATTGCTGAACAGTATATTTGACTTGATAATCAAAGAGTCAAATGTTATGCCTAGATTTTTTTGCAGCCTGAGAGATTATTGTTTTGTGTCCTATGTTAAAATAGAGGAGTAGTTAAAACGAGTTAAGTGATCGTTTCATTTTGATGACTTCTTTTCCCTTTTAGAGTTGGTCAGACCGTCCAAAGAACAGCTGGTCTTGCAGTCAGAGCTTCAGAGGCTGCAGAGTGCTCGCCGAGTGGACGAGGAAGACTTTAACAGCCAGAAACAGGTGCTGCAGACGCAGCTCCACACTGAGGTCAGTCCCTTCACACCAGATGTTTAACTGTGGGAAATGATGAGATTTAATGTTTTTATGCATCTTTGTGGAATTAAATGTCTTTAAGTCTGGTGACTTATTCAAATCCAAACTTTGCAGAGACATGGTGTGGAGATAATCTGTTATAAAATCTGTTCTGCTCCTGCAGGTGGAGCGATGTGCCCAGTTCAAAGCTCAGCTGTTACAGTGTGAGGAGAGGTCCCAGTGGTTGACTAAACTTGTTGAGGACATGAAGATGCAGCTTCGCCAAACTCAACAAGGTACCATGTGATGGGAAGGGCATGTTTAACATGTCTTGGTGTAGATGGACCCTTCTACTGATGTCAGCTTAAGTTATGCGTGTTTACAATATGTGTGTGGTTAACTCTTCAGCTTCTTCTACAAAGAACCTCTTTCTTATTCCAAGTATTCTGTACATCTTTTAATCTTAGCAAGTACCATATTTGACTTCTGTCAAATATGCTCCTAGTGTCTTTTTTATTAATACTGGAATTAATTTAATAAAAATAGGCAACAGACAGTTTGTGTTTTAGATGAAACCTGCATGTTTTTAGACAACTGTTTAGCTACGTTTTTCCTCTGATCTTTCATGGTGGTTGTTCTTCTGTATTAGAGTTCAACACCCCTTTGTGTTTGTTTTTCCTCGTTCCTCTGTGTGATTCAATCGATCACGACAGCTCTTGAAAACGAAGTGCTGCGTAACCCCAAGCCCTCTCTTGTTGATCGCTCTGTGCTGGAGCTCAGCGCCGACAAGCTGTTTCCTCCAGACGTCTACGTGGACAGAGCTCTGCTGAGAGGCAGGGTGGATTATGATGGTGGTTGTGAAGCAGGTGAACCCTCGAGAGGACACGTGTCACTTTGGAGCGATCCTCCTGACTCTGACATGGAGCTCGTGGCAGAAGCCAAGGCTCGGATCCAGGAGCTGCAGGAGGAGGCAGAAGTCTTGGAGGAAGCTTATCGGAGCTACCAGCAGAGGGCAGTGCACTCCAGCATCTCACACATGCTTCCCCCAAAACCCCATTCCCCACAACAAGCATATTTCTCCCATTCCCCCTGCTTCCCTCCTAGAAAACAAGACTCTCAGCAGTCATACATCCATTTAACACACAAACACAAGACTTTACTCAAACCACGTTCTCCTCAACGTGTTAAATCCCCCACCTTGGTTTCCCACGATTCCCAAATCGCCCTCCTGTCTGCACAACGAGGAGTTCCTGTTTCAGAGGACCACAACCAGCCCCAGATGACAGTTCTTACTGATTATGGTCATCATTCGCCGGCTGAATCTTTCCCACCAAGAGATGAAAAAACTCAGAGTGAAAGTTCTGGTTCATCTAAACGAGCTTCCTGCACATCACGGTCCACTTCCAGGAGGAAACGAGAGGAAAATGCAGAAGGTATCGTTTCAAAAACAAGTTAACACAAGACTTTTATTTTAAAACTTGTCAGAAAAATGCTACATAATTTAGTTGGAGGTTCACGGTGCTTATATACTACTGGTTGTACTTTTTTTTTTATATATATATATTTTTTTTTTCATTATGTTCTATATTAGAGGCAGTTGTGTCTCCAGTGGTGTTTCCTAAGTTGCTGCTTGATGGACAGTTCTCTCATGCCCCTCTCAGCGAGGCGGGCACCGCCAGTGACTTTTCTCCTGAGCTCAGTCTACCTCAGAGTCCTCAGCTCAAGAGCACAGCACGAGAGCAGTCCAGGTACCATCTGGCACGACTTCGGCAAGGACGCTGCAGCATTCGTCCTTTATTTAATGGTGTTGAATACTAACGCTGTCGTGTTTGCTGCTTTTCAGTCCATCCAAATTACAGCCCGTGTTCTCCAGCTCAGAGTCCTCCCCGCAGCCTGAGAAGATCAATCTTGAAGACCTCACAGGAAAATTATCAGGTATTATGAAGCAGCAGCGTGTTGCCGACAGATGGGAGACTTTGTTTAAGTTTGTTTTATTTCTGTCGAGTTTTCTCCAGTTGGTCTTGTCAGCTCCTCGTGTGGATGTGATCCAGAGTTTTGCTTTTAAATGCGTTTGACCTTCACAGATCTGTTGCATGACGTTGGCCTGTCTCTATGGGACAGAGATGTCCTAACGTCCTCAGCAGTTTAACAAAAAAAACATTGCTGTGGAGTCTGTCATCCTGAAAACACGTTCCCCTAACAAACTGAATCTGAAACTGGACTTCTGTTTTTGATTCTTGAAGCCATTTTGCTGCACATCCAAGGACTTGAACTATAAACTGAAATATGTGGTTTCAAGCAGAGATTAAGCTTCAGACTTTGCAGATAAAGTCTTGACGTCTTAAACAATAATAAAAAAAGTCCAGTTGCCTTTCCTCAGTTTGTTGGATTTCTACTTGTTTTCTGCCTCTTCTAAACCAAAAACATCATATGCATCCTATCAGACAAGTGCATTGTATAGTTTAGGGCTGTTGCACAGGAAGTTAGTGGTGCTGAAATGTTCATTTTGGTCAGTAATAAATGTTTGCAAATTGTAGAAAAAAGCTATTTTTGTTGTTTTATTAATATTTGTTAATGTAATGAAGCATGTCCAGTACTGAAGCTTGTTTTTTTTTTTTTTATATATGTGGGTGATTGGCCTCCAACACGTCCCTTCAGAGGCCGTGCACAATAGTGAAGATGAAGGACAGCTGATTATGTATTCTGTGCTGCTCCTCTGGCTCGGCTGCATTATGGTGGAGCATAAAGGCCTCCTTTGTGTGCGTCTCCCTTCAGAGCCCGGCCACATTCCAGAACTTCTCCTGGACACTGCTGTCCCTCTCTCCGAGGAGGCCCCCGATGCCACCCCCAGCCCCCTCACTCGGGACCTCCCAGAAGACCCAATAAATTTGCACGACCAGGAGGGTGAGTCGATGGTGCCCAACAGTAATGAGCATGATCTTGGTTGCGCTCAGGTGATGAGCTGAATGGCCTCGTTCTTACGGTGCCAGTCTGTCGTTCGTTTTTCATTGTGACCATTTTGTGACGTTTGCTGCATCTTAAAATAAAATATGAACCAGTTTGTTATTCCGTATGTCTCCAGAGGTTCCCCAGGCTTCAGATAACGCCACCAGGACAGAAGAGGAGAAAGAGGATGAGCAAAAATGGGAAAAAGAACGAAAAGAAAGACAAGAGCGAAGACAGAGGGAGCTGGAAGAAGCCAAGGAGCGAGAGCGACAAGAACTGGAACGACTGGAGCGAGAGATGGTGACAACTGTTAGACACAAATCTCTCTAAAAAAAAAAAAAATTATTTTCTGAACTTTACTTAAAGAATGAGTTAACCTTAAACATTCACTCTGTCTAATCAGCTGCTGCAACAGACGGAGCAACCAGAAAAGGAAGAAGAGGTTGGGAAAGGAGAGGATGAGGAGCTGAAGGAAAGGTCAAAAGGTGAAAATCCTCTGGAGAAGTACATGAAGATGGTTCTCGAAGGAAGAGCAAAGAAGAATCAGAATGTGAGTCGCACACGTTTGGTAGAAGCTTCTTTAAAACACTTTTACCGGAGTGTTTGGCTTTTTTGTTTGAAGAATCCTGACGGACAGGAAGCAGGAAGAATGAGCCCCGAGGACGAGAGTTTATCTGAGGAGAAGGAGGAAAGGTAATCCTTTCAATAAGCCTGTGTTCCGTAATAAACTTATTACTTCTTTATGATTAAAACAATTTGTCTCCTACTTCAAAGCTACGCCGTTACTTTAGGAAAGCTAATAAAAGCCACATAATCCTTTCCCAATATGATCGGGATTTAATTGCTTTTGTGGTTTTTTTTATTTGGCATCTTCATGATGAGATTTGCTCTGGAATTACATTTAGTTAATTTAAAAATACCATTCTATATCTGGGTTTTTGTGTTTTTCCTCAAGGGTTTCATTTATTAACTCGGTTGGGCTTTTTTCAGCATCGCAGCGTATTCACTCAAAGAGGACGAAGATGATTTCTGGTGAGACGATCGTTGGAAATCTGCTTGTAAAGTGTGAAGACTTAGCATTTTTATGTGTTTTTAACTGATTGATTGTACAATTAAATGCATTTTTACCAGCTGTAAACAGCCAAATAAACACACAATAAGTACAACCGTTTGCTGTATTTTTATTTAAAAAATGAGAAACAAAGTCATCAGGACAATTGAGTTGAGACATAAAAATGTTTCCAGTCAGACGGGGTTCTTGTTGGCTGATTGAGGTCTTCCTGGTGATTGGACAGCTTTTTGTTCCTTTTTGGTTCATTTAAAAACATTTTATTTTTCGATTCTGCTTTATGTTTATCCCACATTGAAGAAGATTTTTAACCAAGTTTCACAAAGATATTATTTAACAAATTGGACAGCATTGGTATTCATACTTTGGCTAAAACGGACATTTTTTTTTATGCCTATGGTTTTTAAACAACTGGTGTGAGGAAGCCCTTTATTTTACATTTATAGAAATCTCATGTACACTGAGACAAAATAAAACTGAACTAAAATAGGTCACAAACAATAATCAGCTATTAAAAGAAATTCAGTTAGAAAAAAGGAAAAGGACGAACACTGCCTGCTTCTGATGTCAGTAAACTGCACATCTGTGGAAACAGCTGTCTTCATGCAACAAATGAAACACGTTATTTCTAACTCAGCTAACAAGAAAAGAGTAATTATTTCAATAATATGAAAATTGCTAACTTTAAACAAATGCAACTTAGCAAATATAAGACGAGGCTTCCATCCTTACAAAGACTAAACACTACAGTCGTAACACTGACACGGCTTTAAACTAATTGTTTCAAATGCAGTGAACATGGGATGCTTCATTTTATTGTGAAACATTTCAAAAGTCTGAATTTTAATTGTACAATTGCTACAACAGCTATTTTTGTAATAATCTGCGGTTTCAGTCTCTCCAGTGGCAAACTTTGACTTTCTTCATTTCTCTAAATTAATCAAAGTTTGTAGATCTGTCCTAAATTGTACTTATTGGTAAAATACACAGTATTAAACAAGTTCTCATGGAAGTATCTTAACAGCTTTTGTTCAAGGATACGATGAGAGACGAGCTTCTGAGGCTAATTCTTACCAAATGTTCTTTGTGTGCTTTATTATCAAAAGACATTTCTTTACAATAAAAGTGGTTTATGTGTTGCTTTAAAGTCTAATGCTCGCCTGAGGTAGAGGAAATGTAGGCCATTGTTGTTCAGAGTAACATCAACAGAATATGGATTTAAAAATGAATGGAAAACACTGAAAAAACAGCTTTACCAAGAAGGTTAAGCAATTTAATTATGTATGACATTTAGTACAGCACGGTCTTACTCGGACTTGGTTTTGGATGCCTTGTATGAACATTATTTGTATCTTAGAGCGCGAGGTGCCAACTAAGACTGGATGTAAGGGCTTCCTTCTTGTTTATGACATTTACATTTTTTTTAATAGGGAGAAAACTGCCAAATTAAAAGGGTTTTCCCTGGTTGAAACTCAGACATAAAGGAATGACGGGAAAAAAAAAAGAGCGAAACAGTTCATAAACCAAACGGCTTTTATGAGCTTTATAAGCATAGTGCAACATCAGCATTCACCAGATAAATCTGGTGGGGGGAAAGGTAAAAAGAACAACAGCATGAATATCAGAACACCGTATTTACCAAAAAACACAAAAAGTCAGCATGTTTGTAGAAGTAGTGAAACAGTTCTTGGTGAGTTAGTGCAAAAAGCACCACTTCTGTATTAGTTTGTTAGGAGCCGGGTTAGTACTGCAGAGTACGCAGCTGGCAGGTTATTTTAGCCGAGTCGCCTTGGTCCAAAGGGGCCACAGTGTGCGAGTGTCCCTGTACGTGTGAGAGTGTGTCGTTTTTAGCGTAATATCCTTTTATGTGTAGGAATTGAGGCATTCCTTTGAGCGTGAGGTGATGTCCTGCAGCTCCCGCTCTTCCTTCATTTTGATGTCTTGGTAGGCATGCATTTGACTGGCGTCCTTAAGGTAGGCCCAGTTTGCTGAGAGAATCATGAGGAAGTGGATCTGGAAGAGAAGGGTGAGGTGGATGGCCAGTGAGCATGTCAAAGCAAGCTACAGGAAATCAGAGCTAAAGTCAAATCATGGACGTCAACACACAAAAAGTTAGGCTTTTCAATATACCATGTGACAAAAGGCATTACCAAAACAGATATTGTTGTAAACGTTTTAGGATTTGCAAATGACTAAAGGAAACTTTTTGTTAGCCAGAAAAGTGAGTGATTGAAAAAAGCCAGAGGTGATGCATGCAAGCGTCCTTTAGCTGGAGGTTAGTGCAAAGCGTGAAGCTCCTCACTTTGTAAACTTGACTGTGCTTCAAAACGCCGTAAGATTTTTACGAAAAAAAAACCCAACACAAAAGGAGTGATTTTGTAAACAAAGATTGTTTATTTTATATAGAAAGTAAAAGCTACAGTCTTGTAAAACTTAAAGAAAATTAAATATATGAAAAATGAAGTATAAGTAACCATTAACAAAACAAACAAAAAAAAAAGTCCTGAAAACTGTAAGCATGCAGGCTTTGTGTTAAAATTAAAAACTGCTCTTTTTTATGGGACTTTGAAAAAATAAAACCGTATGAAACCGTTATCCTAAAAGCATCAGCCGTCTCTGAAATAAAAAATGCTTTTACGCTACTGCAAAACATTTATTTTTCATTTTATAAAAGATGTGAAATTAAAATGAGACTCGTGGCCTTGTGCAGGAGTTTACCTCTTGTACTGGCCTAACCTTTAACCTTTACCGTGTTACACTACTGAAGGGAGGTGGGGTTACCTTGAACTCTACAATACACAACATAATATAATTCTCATCAGTATAACACAGTGGTGAAAGTATTTCTTTTAGTTCAGTTTAAAATAGGCACTATTTTACAAGGATACTGATGGTGGTGTGTGTATGAGTTGGCACCAGATTTCATAAATCAAATAAACATCACATTATTTTTTACAGATCTAAAGTATATTGCTAAGACGTTCTCCTCACCAATACTGCTAATCCGGTGACAAGAATGATTAAGCCTGAGAACATCTTCAATTATTTATCATTAGATGTTCGCACGGATTAACGTCACAGGTGCCGTGTGTATTAAAATGCACATTCTGTGTTGTGATCAAGGCCATTAAATATATTTTTAAGCATCTTAAAGTTATGTTGGACATGTGCCTCTGAGGTTCAAGCTGAACTTGGCTGAAGCAAGGCGTGATGCTGCTTTTGTTTTCCTTATCTTATTTACTCGTCCAGCTAATGCTTTCGTGCCGGACAAACCCAGCTATGCACGTTGTGAATATAAATATTTTCTGTGAATTTCTAGCTTTGCACATTTCTTTTAAATCTGCCATCATCTAAGCATCACCTCACTCTGAGAAGAATTATACTACTTGGACAAGCAACGTTTCTGGATACCAATTGCTAAAAGAATCATACAATCAGCTATTTACATGGCATGTGGATTCTATTGGAGAGATGTAAACTTTTCTATTTTCTTTTTTTTTTACTTGCTGTCAGTGGCAAAGGTCTCTCTCTGTCTCTAATCAGCACAGTCAAATGTGGCGCTGTGATCATGAACCAGTTTAAAACTTAGTGCAGCAGTCTTCCCGACTCTTAAACTTCAAAACAGCAAAGTTATAAGTGGTAGCCATCATGTAGATCAGCTGGTGGAAGAGAACAGAAAAGGCGGTAAGAGCACATGCTGTTGACATCCTTCTCACTGATAAAATAAACCACAGGTTAGTAAAGTGACTAGACATGGCCTGGTCTCTGGTTTCAAGATAAAACATCTTTTTAAAAAAAAGTAATCATGTCAAAACCACTAAAAATTCCCATCATACCTGCAGTTTATGCTTTTTAAAAATGGAATACAGTAGTCCCTCGCTACTTCGTGGTTAATTTTTCGCTGACTCTATCGCGGTTTTTCAAAGTAAGATTGGACAAGACGTACAATTTTCTGAATGATGGATGAGCCGCACGTTCGACATGGAATTTTTACTTGAAATACATTATTTTAAATTATTTAGCACCTGTGTGCAGCCTAAGCTGCAGGAGAAACTTCCTCCTGCAGCTGATCAGCTGATCTCCGCTCTGCAGTGGAGAAGTGGGCGTGACCGAGAGCGCTAGCAGATGGCAGAGCACTGAAATCATGACATTCTGTGCGCTTTCAAAGCATTTAGAGTTTAGAAACATTGTTTAGAATATTGCAAGAGTGTGGGAAGGGTTTAAAACACCTTCATATATATATATATATATATATATATATACACTAAAATAAACTACTACTTGTACTATTATTCCTACTTTGCGGTTTTTCCATTTATCACGGGGCTTCAGGGTACGGATCCCCCGCGATAAACGAGGGACTACTGTACCCCCTGTTTCTTATCAGTTACCTATATGTGGGCAATGGTTGACAGAGAACAAACCCCCTGAAAAATTCCCGCCATGTTTTTTTGTTGTTGTTGTTGTTGCTAGGAACAAGCACACACTGTCTTGACATGACTATTAGAAGCACCACCCATCACTCATTAAAATGGTCTAAAAAAAGAAAAGTATGTGCAAAAAAACGTAAGAGTTTCAACAGGTGGAAACACCTACTGCAGGCTTCCTGCTTAGCTAAAACCCCGCTAACTATCGAACATGAGCTTGTTGGACTCCCAATGTTATTTTACAAAGAAACAAATGGCTGAGAAGCATTAATTCTAAAAAAAAAACCAAGTATATTTAATTTAGAACTGCAATTGCATTTAGCTGATGTTTAGTCTATGTTCTTGTTTAGGTATTTCACATCAACGTATATTATAACCAGACATAAGACGGGAAGCCAGAAGATGAAGCCACAAAGAATGGATGCCTCCCAGTTGTTTGTTGCAATAATTTATTTTAAATCCCACCTCACCATGTAAGTGAAAAGGACATTTTCCTGACTAAAAAAAAAAATAAAAATACACATCAGATAATGTTTCTAGGTGTCAGATTAAATAGTTCCTATCTTAATGCTTTGTGTTCAAATATGTATTTTTTTGTACATTTAGTTTAAATTAGTTATTGAAGGCTTAAACAAATGTGGCATGTTACACAGTGATTGACAATGTGACAGCCTGTTAGTGTGGTAGGAGTGTGTGTAAACAGGATTTGGGATCAATGGTACAAGGCTAATGTCTCAAATGTACAGCTTAGTTCCAAAGTTACAACATGGCAGCACCCAAAAATACTGACGTTTTGGCTATAGTTCTCTACAGAGGAGGTTAAACGCTTCAATCTTCTTTATTTATGTTGATGACGCAGCCAACCTACTAGGGGCACTCATTTTTTGTGACTTCAACTTCTGGCTTTCTGTCCTGTGTCTAGTAATACTATATGTTGAAGCTGTAGCTAAAGTAAACGTGTTCTTTCTTTGTATTTAATGTTAATATGGAAGTTATCTCATACTGGCTCCTGCCTAAAAGTGACTACTTTTTAACAGTGAAATGGTAAAAATCATTACTAATTTCTCACAATATATTGCCTATTGTATTTTGGTTTAAAATTAGCTTTGATTGTTAAAAAAAAGAAAATTCTATGAAATCTAAACTACAAGGTCATTCTGTGCACTAACCTAGCAATCCTCAATTACAAACCGAGCCATATGCATCTAAGCAGATGGTGAACAGCAAATGGAGTTGAGACGAAGTCAACGTCTAATCACCTTCAGTGTGGCTACATAAACCATATACAAATGAAAAGAGGAACACTTGACACATGATCTGCTGATAAAAACCATGCAAAGACAAACTAAAGAGAAAAGAATAAGAAATTAAAGGTGATCTTACCAGGGCGATCACAGTGGCCCCTGCACCAGCGCACGCTACGATGTACAGGTGATAGGACAGGTAGAACTGAAAAATGAGAAATAAAATGAATGATTAATTATTTTCAACAATGTTGGTGTGCCATATCCTGTGCAGCACACCCATAATGTGATGTGTATGGAGTAGAAACAGGATCTTACATCACTGGAGTTGCAGATGTCACCAAGCGTGGATCCGCAGGCCTTTCCTGGAGTGGCGTTCCATGGGATGATGCCTGCACCAGTACAAATAAAGGCATTATTTTGTACTCGAAAGTTGCTTTTGTCTCATAAGTGATGACAAAACATATGAAAACAAACCTTGAGATACAGTCTACTCAGATAACGTCCACAGAGAACAAAGTCTAAAAGTAATATTGACATTTTATGAACTCAATGGGACATTCCACTGATTTCACACTTGAAGATACACGTATCTGTCAGCAAGCAGCTTGTGAAAGGAGCTGCAAAATGTCTGGAAGTTTTTCTTTGTTTAAGCACAGAGACTTCAGATTATGATGAAAACTATACATTGCAAACTAAGAATATGAAGACATATTAGTGTGTACACAAGAAGAAACTCTTGAATTAGGCAGGATCTCAAACCTTATAAGGCATTTTTTGGAAATTTTCTAAGACGAAGTGTTGTTCTCTTACCGTACTGACGGACATCGACGCAGATGGAGTCTATGGTTGTGAAGTTGACCATCGGAGACTTCATGGCATTACAGGTAGACCACATGTTGTAGAAGAGGAAGACTGGCACTGCCGAGAAGCCAAACACGCCGAGCCAGGCCACACCCAAGATGTATGTGAGGAACACGAACTGCGTAGAAAAACAAACAATGCAGTTTTAGAATTTATATGTTAATCTAATTTCATTACAACATAGTCTCTTTTACAATGGGACATCCCTTTAGGACCTTTTTCAAGCATGCATTATTAAAAAAATAATAGTCGTGTGGTTGTGTTAACATACCATTCCACTGATGCAGCGTCCACAGATGGTGGTCTTGAACTCGCTGTGCAGTTCCTTGACGGCACTGGTTGTGTAAAAGCCCTCGGCAAGCAGAATGATTCCATACAGGAAGAAAAATGAAGCAATGCCGTAGATGACATACTGCATCAGCTGTATTCTGTTAAAGAGCAATGTCACAGTCAGGCTTCACTGTTGTTTGTTATGGATTTAAAAAGCACATGGAAAGTGGTCCTAGCGTGGCACACTGCTGTTTGCTGTGGGGAAAATGGCTGCAGATGGTTATTTTCTATGCAAATCTTTAAAACACAAAAATATTGGGTTGTTAACCATGAACAGATGGCTGTGATCAAATTAAGAGATGTAGATGGATGCAAGTCCACATGTGGAGATAACAGGTGATGCATGTCTGGAAACCCTCCACCAAAAGACAGACTACCTCTGTGGACAGCTTAAATTAAACAGTGCATCTGGATCCACACCAACTTTAAACACATGTGCAGCCCACTCTGATGTCGTTCCTGTTTTATAGTCTAGACAAATGGATGTGCTGTAAAAAGGTCCATATTAGGAATGTACTTAAGGTGCATGTGGGAGACTTTTTTTTGCTAAAAATAGCCTAAACAGAGCCTGCTTTATGAGAGTAGTACGTATTGCCTTTGGACTTGTCTTTATTGTGATGGAAAACTGGAAGAACATGTGTTCTATGAAGATGTTGGGGAATAAATCTTGCATGGATGTATTTCATGTAGCATGTATGGAGTGTGTAAGATGACTTACACATCAGTGAGCATGGCATGGTCTGCTGTGGTCGTGGAAAAGTGAGTTTCCAGGATGGTCACAGTGCCAGTGAGAGCCACATGGCCACATCCACAGAACAGGGCTACGCCGGAGAAGCAGAGGATTGTAGCAACCAGTGATGCGTAGGGCACTCCGCCTAAACATTTGATGCAGCACTCAAAGCAACCTATCCAAAACAGAAAACAAAAAAATGTATTGTAGAAATTGAATCTTGACATTAAATTTATACAGTACTGTGCAAAAGTATTGTCATTTCTTATTTTGTTACATTTGCTTCAAAGAACCTAAACTTTATTGAAATCTTTATAAGTGGTCCTGTTCCATTTTTCTTCAGGCATTTAGTGGGCTATCAAAAAAACTGGGGGGGAACTTTCCAAACTTTTTGTTAATTTTTCATTAATTTACAGTCTAGTACTTGATCATTTTCAGAGGAATGTTTTGTTGTTTACATGTATGTCGGTTGTATGTTAAGCCACCAAAAGCTGTTCAATTATTCAGGTACAACAACTCTTTAACTCAAGAGAGGAATAAGCAAAGTGTCAACCTCAACACTAAAAAAATAAAGTTCATTACATTGTTTCAACCACACTGAGACAATTTGTTACCATTTTTTTAACTGAATATGAAAAATACCAAAGACGGAACAGTACGACACACAAAATAAATATAATCTGCAAATATCATTCATCTGTTATTGGTACTTTCTACTGTAAGTCTAATATTACTCCACATTTTATCTGTCCTCATTTCTAAACACACACTGTACAATATGCTGTTGTGGTCAGGCACCAGGATGGGATAGAAACTGATTAAAAAGGCAGGCAAAGTCCTAAGAAAAACTTTGAAAGACCTCCACAAACCCCAAAAAACTACTGATCAAGACTACTGCAAACAATTACAAGAAAGTCTGACTCTTTGAAACCAAAGTACAAGGAAACTAACGGGGGTTTAAAAGTTCTGTACTGTATCATAATTTAAAGATGGTTTGACTTTAACAATAATCATCAGCATCAGTCAACACATGCATATAAGGAACCAAAGCTTCAACCTAACTTCTGTCTATAAAAGAAGTAAACTCCATCAAGCATGACTGCAAAACATTTGAAATGTCAAGAACCAGTGGAAACCACTTGCTGTGTGCCCCTGAGGTTTTACAATTCAGTTTGCCGTAATGTTTCATTTGACAATTCATCACTCCACTTAAAGGGCACTAATGGCCATCCGGCAGGTCAGAGCAGTGGGTGTCTGCCAAGCTGTAATGGAAATCAATGGCAGCTAACCATGATGGGAGTGAAGTGACCCAGATGGGTCTGCCTCATCCAATGTGTTGTATTTTCTGAGGTGGAGCCATTCACCACAATGCCCCGTCTGTGGGCACAGGCTAATGAGCCACACTGTGCCTCCAATCAGATCCACATGTGTCTGACAGGATGCTGCAGAGTCAAAAAGACAACCAGGTCACTGCCCGTTTATGCTTTAGGTCTCACACCATTGCTTCAGGTCATGCTGCAATTGAAGAATTTAAAGCTGCTGTGAGCAATGCTTGTATGTTCTCAACAGGTCAAATGACCACACGTAGAGAAAGAGGCCACTGGCAATGGCTAATCCCAAAAAGTTTCAGTAACTGCAAAATCCACAACTCAACAACATATTTTCACAACCTTTAGCCTTGATGCTAACTAGTTTTGTGTTTTAAACCTGCAAGAAGGGATTCTGACTTGAATCTCATGCTTCAGGTCAAGAATTTCCATATCAGGATAAAATATAATACTGGTACAGTTAATATCCAGTCTTAGGCAGATTTTATCATGAGATGAATGGATTCTCAGTCACACAATAGCACATTGCACACTACACTGATTATTTAACAACAAAAAAATTAAGTCGATATGTGAAAAGTAATTATTTAATGCCCCGTTAGAGGTTAAAAAGTGGCGGAGCAGCCCAGTGTCGCTGATCAAATTAACTTCGTAAACTGATTGTCCACAAAAGTCAAGTCAAGATTCTTTATTGTCATTCGCATCACATGTGGTACATGAGGTGGAATGAAATTGTGTACACAGGGTTCCAGTTACATCCCACAATAGCAAAAATATAAGTATAAAAAGAAACGGTAAATAAAAAAAACAAGACATAAACTAAGATATACGCTGAACGAACACCCAATGGTACACTAAAAGATCTAAGATATACGGTATGCTGGTCACTAATAGTGCAAAACAATACACCGAACAGCAGCTGCATGATTCTCAAAAGTTCGGGTTGGCTATAGTTCACACGCTTAACGCAAGCGGTGTCGGGCTCAGAGCCGAGCCCAAAACTTGCATAAACTGGGATTTATTCAAAGCATGCAAGAAAAATAGAAAAACAAGGTGCCAAAAGTGAAAAGGAAATAAATGTCAAATGTGGTCAAAAGGTCAAAAGTGACCGTATTTACGAAACAGACGTTTTTGGCAGCTTGCTGCAACTGAAGCGTTCAGATTTGGGTCAGTAAAATTCCAAGGAGGAAAGAAGTAATCTTAGGCAGTAATCTTAGAGCAGCTATTGCTGCCCATCAGTCTGAGATGGGTTATCGGACCATCTCCAAACCATTTGGGCTTCATTATTCCACAGCGAGAACAAATATTCACAACTGAAAAACATCCTAGAAAGTTACTGATCCTTCAGGGAGTAGCTGTCCTGGTCATTTTAACTAAATGTCAAACTGTGCAGTACTCGAAGATTTTACAAAGATCTGCCGGAGCTACATCCCAACTCTAAATCATGAAAGATACTCATTTGATAGTTATTGCTTGTTTGACAGAGTTACTAAAAGATTGTGTCTTGGCTTAGTTTGGCTTAGGTTTGTAAAACTGCCGTTGAACAAACTAAAATGTTTCTGGAACAATGTCCTTTGGACAAACAGGTGTTTGATCATAATGTTCAGTCACATTCAGTGCATCGCAAACTAAATACAGCATCTCTGCACCAATGCCAATCTATCAAGCATGGTGGGAGAAGCACTGCACTAAAACCATGGATATACGGAGCGATCCGATGTGGTGATATCTCCGTATTCTTCACATATACGTACAATTTCCGGGAAATTCCGTATCGCATCCCCGGCAGATTCGGTTTTCGGATATCCCCGTATACGGACACAAATGGATCCTAAAAAAATCCCAAAATCCGGATACTTATCTGCGGCAGATCCCGAAAATATGTGACTCTGTTATCCCTCGGGATTCCAGCTTTAGATCTCTTTGCATTCTTGCCGCATCTTTGACGTATGGTTGGTTTCAGATTCACGCATATACGTGACAGATGTCTGTCGGATATTTACAGATTTTTATCTGCGAAGGATCCTGAAGTATGCGATCCCTCGGAGTTCCAGCTTTAGATCTCTTTGCATTCTTGCCGCATTTTTGACGTATGGTTGGTTTCAGATTCATGCATATACGTGACAGATGTCTGTCGGATATTTACAGATTTTTATCTGCGAAGGATCCTGAAAAATGTGTGTATGTGATCCCTCGGAGTTCCAGCTTCAGATCTCGTTGCATACTTGCTGCATTTTTGACGTATGGTTGCTTTAGATTCATGCATATACGTGACAGATGTCTGTCGGATATTTACAGATGTTTATCTGCGAAGGATCCTGAAGTATGCGATCCCTCGGAGTTCCAGCTTCAGATCCTTTTGCATACTTGCCGCATCTTTGGCGTATTACGTGGCAGATGTCAGTCGGATATTTAGATTTTTCATTTATGCAAATTTGGGAATCTGATATACTCTGCCTGTAAATACAGGTTTGGCATGTAGGTAAGCCTTCAAGTAAAATAACTATATCTTAACATGTTTGCAATGGTTAGTTGTTGTTTTTTTGTCTTGCACTCCATTTAGTTTTTATTTGTAATACGTGAAGTGCTTTATATAACTATTTAAATCTGCTATAGGCTACAAATAGTTGGCTTCTAAGATCTTTAACATTTTAAGATCACCCAGTTTTTTACATCAAAATTAATGAGTCTTTAATTTTGGTTTATGTACCATCATCATGATGTACAAATCACAAGCTGGACCAGTAAGCACATTACCATTTCAATAAGAACTATGAAAAATCAGTATAATAAACAGTTTATGAAGCAGTCTAGTAAATACACAGTGGTTTGTATCTTCATAACACATACTAATGCAAACATATCATAGACATGAAAACACTGACCATGACTTTCTTAAAGATTTTCTTTTTTTATTAAAACACACACACACAAAAAAAAACCCCTACGGTTTAATTTGTAAAAAAAAATAGTTGTTGGTGCCTCTTGGAGGCTGCCTCAGGCTGCATTTCCCACTGGGCACTCTGCAATGTAGCCATCCATTCTGCAGGGCTTTGTTTGAAGCTCAGCAAGTTTGTACTGGCATCTGTCTAAAATGTCCTAGTTTTGCTGCTCTCCCATTCAGGTGGATAAACTTTCCATGTGTCTTTGTCTTCGTGTCGGTCTCGTACTCATAGGCATGTTGGCACCCCCTCATTCTTCATCATTTAAAATGGAGCGACCAACAGACTGCCGTGAATTCAAAAGCTTCAACAGAAAACACAGAAAACACAAGGTCAATAAGAGCACTTTTTAAAATGTAATCATAACAAAAAGCAAATGCATCCATATCTCAATTCTTAGATTCTCAAACAAAAAGTTTACGGATGTTCCAAAAACCTTTTTTTTTAATCTTCCCATATTGAATATTTTTAGTAACTCATATCTACCAATAGATGGCGCTTTAACACATCTTTACACGAGGACCCAGAATTTAATTAAAAGTTTTACTTCTTCTGCATTGCCAGAAACTATAGTTTCACACATCTACAATGATGTAATGTGAGACTAAAGCAAATCAGATACATTTTGCATTCTAATTCTAATTCTGTTTCCTCTAGGATTTTTTTTTATTTTTAGCTAGTTTAGTTTTAGCTTAACCTCAGTGCTAACAATGGCTCTTGGCTTGGTAGTCATTGGGGGTCCTCCCCCAGAAAATTTTGAATAAAATAGATGCCATTTCCTGCATTCTGGTGTATTTAACATCTAGTTTTACCTACATATGTAAACTATTCAATAAGTATTTTAGAGTTAATGGCAGAACAAGAAGCACCCTGAGTCAAACATGCAGCATTAACACAGTGTGAAC